AACTGGCACATAGTACGTTAGTCTATTTTTATGAATTTATAGGAAGAAATCACACATATACAAGGTTTTCTAAAATTGCTGGGACTTATTTATATAAAAAATGTACCGTTTGTCCGAGAGACGAATTCAAAGTTTACATAGAAAAAACAATTTTGTATACACTGTACAAAAATGAGTGGAACAAATTCGATGAACTTTGACAAAAGTGCATTTTAGAGGATGACTCTTCTTGCAGTGATCGAAGAAACCTGAAAGAAATTGTAGAAGGGTTGAAACCACCCTCACCTCCTGACATTTTTTTCAGAACATTCTTAGGGGTGGTAATAGGGTTCTCAATTTTTTTAAGCAAGATTTTGTTACTCGCGTGAAAATTTCGTATTCCTCATAGTTCCGAAGGAATAAAAGTTTTCTACACAGATATTTCTAGTTTATAAAATTGTGATACAAAATAAGTTTGCAGTGGAAACGAAGGAATTGACATTTGTTTTGATTGTGGTATTAAAATTCTTCTGGGAATATCTGTTTGCATTATTCAAGATAACATTTTTTGTTTCCTTCTGAACTATGTGGAATACAAAATTTTCACAAGAGTAACAAAATGGAGATAATTATTCATTAATCTTGCTTAAGAATTTTGAGAACCCTATTTCCACCCCTAGAAAAGTTCCGAACAAAATTTCAGGGGGTGAGGGTGGTTTCAACCCTTCCACAATTCCTTTTGGGTTTCTCTAGTTACCGAACGAAGGGCAATCCTCTAAAATGCCCTTTTGTCAAATTTCATTGAATTTGTTTCACTGATTTTTCAACAGCGTTCAAAAATGTGTTTTTCTATGTAAACTTTGAACTCGTCTCACGGACAAACGGTACATTTTGCTATGAATATAAATTGGGTTCAATCAACTTATTTTGACCTGTATTACACGTGGTAACTTTGTGTCCTAGCAATTTTGGGACACCCTGTATATATAATAGTTCATTTGAGAGGTCATACATACATAGGTATACTTGTATTACTTCTTGCTACTTGGGTATAGGGGTAGGTATAGGTATCTATATCATATGAATTGTATTCTGATTTGAAGGCTTTCAGTGCCTGATGCAAAAAATGAGAACTGTGTGAAAGATTCTATTGTTTTCGTATAATTCAGATCGTCAATTTTGTTGTCATTCAAGGACAAATAGTTGTCAAAGTGATGAAAAATGGTTGATCAATTACTATTTGTGACACTCTGTATATGACAATAATTTCTAGTCATCGAAAATCATGAGTCAATCACCTGAGCATCAGAAAACGTTGCCCGTTGTATAGACACTATGGATAATCAGCATGAATATAATATCTGAGAAATAACCCAGCTACCGGATACTGCTGGATTCTTTTCCATCAAATAATGCCTTCGAAAATAAGACATATAAATATCTCATCAGGATTAACGTGTTGCTATTGAAACTGTCTGCTCACCGTTCAGAAAATATTATTCTTGTGACTAGAAGATATTTAGTCAGGGGGCATACGTGAAAACTTTCGAGAATAGTGAATATACTATAGGAAGGTATACGATCGTTTTATCCAGTTTTATATCTCACCTCTTATACAATCAGTTGAAAATGTTGCTCTATGAGAAAGGAATTGATTTATTATAAAATAAAAACATGGACATTGAGGAAATATTTTGTTTCATTCAAGCATCGAAATGGATGTCTTCAAAGGTATGGTTACTCCTGACAACTTTATGTTGGGCACAGTGAGATCGGCTTTTCTAGAGAAAAGGCATGCTAGTGTTTTGTTTTTCCATTGGAATCTACCAAGTTATTGGATCCCCATTCGAGAATTGTTGCCAAGTCCATATTTATGTTGGCAACATTTCTCCGTCGTTCGTTTTTGATTTGCGTGGCTGGTATTGGAGTCCTGATGGAAGAGGCGGTATGGAGGGTACTATCATTCGCGCAGCTGTGTACTGGAAAACAAATCGTTGATATGGAGTTGAAATAGTGTTGGTGCTAAAATTGATCCTTGCGTAACACCAGCATTTATGATGAGAGAGTCAGATGAAACTCCATCCACCACTACGTGGAGAGACCTATTTGAGAAAAAACTAGCCAGCAGAGAACATAGCTGGGGAGGCAAGCCATAAGATGGAAGCTTGGCGAGGAGTCCGTGGTGCCAGACTCGATCGAATGCCTTGGAGATATCAAGTGCCACGGCTAAGGTTTCACCACCTAGCCGGATATTCACCGTACTTCAACTTGTCTTGGGTGATATCCTCTTCTCTCTTCCTTTTTCAATCTATCTATCGGCCTTTCTTGGCCAACATCTCTTTTCCTCCTCCCTTTCAAGCCCAACCACACCATCAAGTGGTGTGGGGAGGACAGACCGCGGCCGCTCGACGGATGAAGCATCTTGGGACCATCTTTGCAATCTCCGGGCCAGATGGGACAATTTGTGGACATCTGTGGCAGGGATGGGGCGATTTGCTGATGTCTGTCTAGGTGGCCGAGGACTGGTCAACGAGGCTCTGGCAACGTAATCCAAGCTGTGGGAACCCGTGGTGATGGATGAATGGCACCGAGGTTTGGTGTCGCTAACGGGGCCTCTGGGAAACAGGGCGACATCTCAGAGTAAGTAGCCTTAGCCCTGTGCAGGGGGCACCACAGGGCTGGACCAACCCCTTCCTCCGTCACTCGTAGGAGAAGGAAAACTTTTGACCTTCTTCATAGACGAGAACAGGGATCGGAAGAGTAATCTTCAGGAACCTGAACGAAAAGGGTCTTTCATATTGAAGTGGCCCTTAATAAGCACCCATGAGTCGTATTTGGTAAAATTGATAACGGCATGTTGGTAAAATACAATGGGCCACTAGGCCTAAGTGTCGTCGGAGACTTCGGTCAGACGAGTCTACAAATGGGGTGGAGTGTTTAGTGGGTATATACCTGGAGTCAGGGGACTCATGAAAGATTTCAACCACTTCGATGAAAAAAAAAAAAGAGAAAAAGGTTTCGCAATATTTTTCAATGGATTGCTGCCATATGGGACAAATGGGACAGCAAGTTGTGTTCTCATGAAAAATTAGATTGACAAAAAATTTGAGGATATTATTATCGTCAGTCTCCCGACTATTTCTCGATTGAATAATATTACGAATCGAACAAAGACGCGAGAATGTTTTTTGTCAGAAGGTGCTTATAATGGACCAACAATATGCTGCCTGCTACCGACTAAGTAGCAGGTTGAGGCCATTTGCTAACGTGACCAGCAACTTTCCTAATGACACCCCTGCGCTTGTATCATGTGTCGTATCCCACATTTTTTTGATACAACAAACGTCACTCTACGTAATTCCCGAGATACACAGTGAGGTCAAGAAACAAAATAACGTGAATTTTTCTACGATCGTGCAAAAAGAAGTTTAACACACTTTGGTGTGCATATATTCTGCAAATAATTTGACAAATGACAACTTTTTGATTATTCCTCAAAGCGTTACTGTTTTATACAAGGTCGTGTATCTAAATAACGCCGAAAAAATTCAAGGGGTGTTTTATTGTGATATATTCTAGCAAATAAAGTTCATATAAACATGTTGAAGTTGGAAGTATTAATTGTTTTTATTTATAACACCCTGTATAAGCTTTCATGGTGCCAAAATTCAGTATGGATGCAGACTGAGAAAGCCCCGGAATTTCAAAATGATTCTAATTGGGGTTATTGAGTAATCTCAATGGAAGTCTTGAAAACACCTATACAGTGTGTCCCACTTACCATGCTCACCATGGGTATCTTTTTAACGGTGAGAGATACGAGGTCGGTTGAATGACACCAAATGTGGAGTTTGTCGAGGCCAACTATAATGAGAAAAAATATTTTGATAAAATCTATTCGTTTTTGTTTTATACGCAAAAAACAGATTTTGATCATTTTCATGTCTCCTCAGTAAATTCTTTATTTATGAAAATATTTGAATAGGAATTCCACATTCTCATGGCAGTTTTTCAAAGTGATTTCGAAAAAAATTTGAAATTTATACCAACTCTTCTAGAATTTGAGATATCAGCACCAACTTTTGTTTTTCGAATGTAGATCATAGCTCACTATGACTTAGTTAGAATTAACTTTTTTTTCTCTTACAGATGATATGTCGCAGTAATAGTTTTGTGTTGATATCAACGGAGTTATCGTCATTTATACCTAAACAAAATATTTTTTGGAAGCCGCCATCTTGAATTCATAAGTTTGAACAAAACAATCATGATCTCCGACCTTAAAAACCCCCACTTACCAATTTTGAATGGAATCGGACCAAATCTTGTCCGCCATCTTGAAGCAGCCATTTTTTTTTATTTCAACAAAAAGAGAGATGCAATCATACCTTTTGATGGCAATATATTGTAGCAGCTGAGCGCCATCATGAAATCTTCTCATAATTCGTAACATCAGTTCCATTCAATATACACTCTAGTCCTAAATTCAATAGTCTTCGAAATAATAACGTTTGAAATGTGGCATTTTGATCATTCTAAACCCAAAAAAATCTCGAATTTTGCTTTCAATCGAGTCTGCTTTGGGAGAATGGGCGTGTACACCTTAGTAGAACTTTTAACTCAAACCATGTTTATAATGATCCTTTTATACATAAATAATGATTGACGACATAATTCGATCGAAAAATCAACTGGAATATTTTATTTTTGGGCATAAATAATATTACCTTCTTAAAACGGACCCCCTTATGACGTAGAAACCTCATCTCGCCATAGTTAAAAGAAAATACCAAACGCCCGACGGAGACTGAGGCAACTGATATATTAATTCTTTCAACTGTGATCTCGCGCTAATTCACTTTGTCAGAAATCATGTATCATTCATCTCTGTCTGGAATAGTCTTGTTTCAGTATTTGTAGATAAATGAATATCCCCAATATTTTGTTTTCCTCGAACTTCTAGCGAATGTGTTTCATTCAAAGCCTCCCTGTATAAATAATCTAATATTTGATTGATGAACAATTATTATTTAGCTCAACTGTCCTAAATCAAGATTTTAATGCATATTAATATCATAATCTATTACAATGGAAATTTTCTTATATCATTTTATAGCATCTTGTTGTTGGTTCACTGGAAGTCATAAACATCTCAGAATCAATTCCAGGAACTCCTCGTACTTCACATTGATATTCCCCGAAAAACTAGTGTCCCTATTCTTGAACTCGTCGGTGAACTTCTGGATCTGGATGCAGGTGATGATGTACTGGTCCAAAGACATCTTCTTCGCGTTCGGGTTACTCCTCCTTATCAAAAACCTGACGAAATCAGGCGTAAAGTGAATGTCCATCTCTCTGAGAGCCTGGTCCAGCTCGTTCTCGTCCAGATACCCCGACCTAGAGTGAATAGATTTAGTATAGAGTGACGACAATAGACCTCCAAATGGTTGCCGATTCCGGGATGTCATTCGTGGTCCAGTCACTAAAAATCTGAAGGGTATATCCCATGCAGTAATGAAGTTGCGCCTTCGAAGTGCCGACCTGATGTTAGATTTATATATTAGATATTTTAATTTCATCATCAAAATAATCTGAGACTTAAAAGTCTCAGAAGTCGGAAGAGAGTTTCATGTCTCATTGTTGGATGTTTTGTGACCGAAGAGCAAAAAACAGAGACAAAGCAATCCTGAAAAAAATAAATGAAAGAGGAACTTGGCTCCTCCACCATTCCTATGGCGTCCTTTCTGAAAATCCACATTCATACATTCAGTAAAAATACGATTCCCTGTGCCACTACGACGTTGCCGACATCATCAATATGTCTAGATTTCCGGAAATTGTTCTTTGAATGCATATATAACTATATCATAACAGCAATGGGATATAATAGGTTCTTCAATCCTACTTTGTCAAGTATTATGAATAATTCCCAAAAATCTCTCATTGGCTGAATGAAATTGATTACTAATAAAGATAAATGGTATTTCGCGATAGTATCTATGATTTTTCACTATCGTTATATTACAATATGTTATTCATAACTTGTCAGTCATTTTTCTGCTAATGAATTCGTTATTTAATGAAACGGATCTATTTTCTAGGAAAGTTGCAGATCATATCTTGCAACATCTCCTAATACTTGGAGCCATGGGTGTCGGCCTCATTCTCTTCTGACCGATGACAGTAAATTAGGAAGGATAGTGTCATTGAATATAGCCGATAGTGATTCATTGATTCAATGATATTTTCCTTAAGGATCGAGCTATTTCAATGCATAAATAACAAAACCATAACCTGTCGGAATGAAGCCAACTACCCTCTGCATTCCTGCTCCGAGTGCATTTGTGGTCATGTATGTTTTTGTTTTATGAAAATTCATCTGAAGGAAACTTCCCCATTACACAACTAAAGGTCTGACCAATCAAAAAGTGCACCACTTTTGTCGTCACTCTATTTATAAAGTCACTCTACCCTGACCTGTCTCTGTCGTAGATGTTGAAGGCGTTGATCCATAGCTTAATGTGGTAGTACAAGGACTCGAACTCTTTGATGTCGAGACCCCCATTCCGGTCCAGATCGAACAGTCTGACGACGAATTTGCAGGTGGAGTCGGAGAAGTGTCTGCCCTGGAAGAGCTCGAAAGCTTGCTGAAGCTCCTTGGAGGTGATGCGGCCTGCGTTTTGGGTGTCCATCGATCGAAACCATTTCTCCACCGCCGGGTGGATTTTGTCGCCGTGGCGGTATATTTGGGTGAAGATGAAGGATGGATCTATCACTGAGCAGCCGTATCGCTTCTCATTCAACTCTGGAAAATAAATATAGGAGTATAAGTTCCACCAACAAAGCTTGTGGCTCCAACGGAATCCCACCGATTGTTCTCAAGAAATGTGCTCCCGAACTAACACCTGTTCTCTGCAAGTTGTTCAACTACTCTTACAAATTGGGGATATTCCTGTCCAATGGAAAAGTGCAAGAGTACAACCAGTTCCTTCAATAGGCAAAAAGACCCTACCTAGCAACTACAGACCGATCGCACTGCTATCTATTATTTCAAAGATCATGGAGAAAGCTATCAACATCGAGCTCGTGAAATCGGCAATATGGCTTCCGTCATCAGAGATCAACTGGTAACCTGCTCGCTTACGTCTCACATATATGGCAGCAATCTATTGAAAAATATGGTGAAACCTTAGCCGTGGCACTTGATATCTCCAAGGCATTCGATCGAGTCTGGCACCACGGACTCCTCGCCAAGCTTCCATCTTATGGCTTGCCTCCCCAGCTATGTTCTGAGCTAGCAAATACATAATACAATACCTACCTTCTATTTCTACTCATCCCTAGTACTCACTATGTTAAAAGAGCATAGCTTCTTCCCGAAACCTCAAAAGAAAAAAAGAAAAATCAGCTATGTCTAGGTCACTATTAAACCAAGTGAATCAGCTCAGAAAGGGAGATAGATCTGTTTTACTTTGGGAATCTCCAACATCCTGAATCCATCTGAGGTTCTGTTCACCAATTAACAGTGATTATCATCAAATTACTATATAATATCTTTGAAATTTTACCATAATAACATGAGAATCTATCGAAAGTGCAATGTTCGGTTATTATTTGTCTATGATTTAGACTTACTTTTCTCTTCTTCAGTTTGGAAAGGTTCATTCATTTCTGCATAGAGTGGATGGTAATGGTCGTTTTGAGGTATGAATTTGCTAGAATTTTGATGATATGATGGAACTGTCATGAACTGGTGACATTCATGGACAATCAAAGTGTGACGACCAATGAGATGAATTTTTCTCCACATCCATACCGGGTAACATTTTATTATAGACAACAATAGTATCCAGAGTAGCAGAAGTATATAAGAGAATCAAAATCTCCTTGACATAGATTTTTTTCCAATATTTTGAACTATTCTCACCATATACTTCTGTTTTCAACCGGAAACATACCCAACATTGGGATTTCAAATGAAACAGCCTTTGTATATTCACATTTTTGGATTATGAAGATCACATTATAGTTTTGAAACAACTCAGGTCACATGATTGTTTAAAATATTTTTTTTTCATCATCACGACTGCGTTTAACGTAGAAGCTTTTAGGTTGTTTCAAGGGTCAAATAAATCAGTTAAGTGGTTTTGAAGGGACGAACGTACAAACCCACTTTATCCTAAGATGGCTATAGTGTTAGTTTACTTCATCTTGATTTTTCTTGACTGTCCCCATAGGTGGTACCTCACATAATTATATCGTCATCACTTATTTCAACCGGTAGTGGATTGGGTCTAATCAGACCCCATAGGAATTCCAGTATATGCGCTACAATAATAACTTTTGTTGTGACAGTCTCGTAATAATGGTATTTGAAAATAATGCAAGTCAACACCGAGTTTGAGTTATACTGAGGAAGAGTGTTGTTTATCTTTGTACATTGTTTGACGATGGTGGGAACCAAATGAAGGAGTGAGAAGGTCATTATATATTATAGCATGTTCACCAAAGGAATATTAAAACGGTAATTTTTGTTTTGGTGTATAATGAAGTTGAAACTAACGCGAGAACGCCGGAATTTCATGTCGCAGTTAGTGATGAAAACAAAGGAGCAAATTCTCCAAACAAGTGATTATCAGCCCTTCCGCGGATGACTAGATTGTGAAACGGAAACAGAACAGCAGCGCTGGGAAGTGCAGCAGGTGTTAGGAGGCAGAGTTAATGCAAAACCACAACATCATACGCGAAGTTTACTTTTATAATCTGATTTGCGGGGGATTATTTGAATATTTATATACATAAAATACGAACGGGGCGCCGCTTGGTGCATTAGCAAGTTTCCAAACTGACTTTCCGATGGAAATATGCGGGGAAGTCGTCGCGTATATACCGCGGATCCATCTAATCTCATTCCTTATACCCCTTGCTCCATAACGAATCATAGATGAGGAAGATATTACATTATTCAGTTTGGTTTTTCGACAGAAAATGTTCCTGACTGTACAAAGTTAGTGCAGATTTTTCAATCGGCTGACTTATGCTGTTGGACTACTCCTAATTCCCACATATATCATTTTTATTGTAGAATCCACACAAGCCCATTTTCTGCAAACGGAGTATGGCAGCTTCTCAATTATCCAGATATTTAATCAACTTCATAAGATTTGTATGTCAAAGCATTATCTATCAAACAGTTATCCTCACTTGATTATATTGAGAAACAAAATTAGTGATAATATGTAGTGTTAGGTTAACTTGTTCTTCATGACAACGTGGCATGGGATCCCATAAGGTACAAGAAAATACAACTCTTTTTTTATTATTCCAGTTTTTTTGGGGTTTTCTCTCCTAGTTTCTATAACAAACATATATGAATATCATTTCAATGTACGTGTAGGAAGGACAAATCAGATGATTTGAACCAAAATGTCACTGCGTTTGAAGAATTTTCCTATCGGAGAGCCTAAAAAAAAGATTCACTAGCTTGTCAGTGACAATTTGTATTGAAAATGGTTTGGAGAAGAGAAATAAAGGTATATTGCGAAAATATCAAATTTTCACTTTGCTTTGGTCGTTTTGGGAACGAATCTGCTCCAGATTTCAACATAAAAAATGGATATTTAAATAGCAAATAATTGTTTGTTTTGACACTTTTCAGTTCTCCTCGATTAACCTAAAGACAGTATTTGTCTCTTTCTTTGTTTTTTCGAATTTGCTATTGCCTTTTCTTCATTCTTCTCGCGTACATAAGTAGTTGATTGATCTTTTTATTACTGTTTAGCTGACTGCCGCACCTCATTTCGAAGCAAATCTTGTCAGAATATATAGATGGGCGTGAGAAAGTAAAAAGTAATACAAACAATGGGCTATAATTTTTTTTCGTTGAGTAAATGACGAACAGAACGAATCAGAGAGGCTGTTACAATACAAACAACACGTTAGTATGAACCAACTTTATTTGAGCTCAACGAATGTAAACACTCCACAAATAATTTATATGGGAATATACTCAATCTCTTTGTGGATACAGTAGTGCCCAAAGTGACATATCATGTGCAGTCGTCGTCAGAGATCATGTCGCAATGGACGGTGTCACCGCTCTTATATTGCAGAAGTTATATCATCATCCATGTGCGACATGTTTTCTGAAGACGACTGTACTTGATCGTTGTTAAAAGATATTCGATTGTTTAGTACAGGTAGTAGAATTTGCTAATCCTGCATCTATGCGGATGATGATGTATACATTACGGTATCATATACAGGGCGAGAGTATAATATTGCTATTTCCCAAACGGTGTGAGATGGAAAGTTGATTTTATTAGACAAAAGTTGAGTATTTTGAACCTCTCCAATATGACCTTTTGCAATTTGGAAAAATGTCAACCGGTCCTGAAATATTTGGAAAAAACTGAAAATCACTGATTTCGTTTTTATTTATTTTCATCAGAGGAAAAATATTGATATTTTCTGTAAGCAGGTGATTATTCATTACAGAGAAGTTGGGATCAGAAATATTGAATCTTCATTATTTTCAGATGCCATATTTGTTTTTTAAATACCATCATTGAATATGGAGCTGAAAATTTCATTATTCACAGCAATCATGTATAACTTCTAGACATTTTCAACATTTTCACATGACGCAGCGCCAAAAAACAGTAAACACATTTTCAAATGTGGTATAGGCCATGATAATATAAGAAAACTAGATATCAGTTGTCATGACTACAAGTATCAATATCTACTTCTTCATAGCCATGTATATAACACGCTACAACGCTAAATTATTATGCAAAAAGAAAAAGGCATATAGGTAGAAAAACCAAGGAAAAAAATTTTCCGTTATTCATCAAGTTACGTTTCTAAATGTATAAAATTAACTTGCCTTAAGAATCATATATCTTATGATTTCCACATTTCTGGAATTAATTCTGATATCAAATTCAATGTTTGAGGATAAGTAAATTCATTCACGATTAACCCATAAAATACTGAGAAGGAATCAAGAGATATTGATGAATAGCAAATTTTATCACAAAAAATTACTGAAATAAATCTCTGAATGAAAACCTTTATTTGATATGGGTGATAGTATCTTGATTATTTGTGTAAAAATTCGTATTCTTGGTTTTTCAGTCCCATATTTTGTAATAATGTCAATAAAGTAGTGTCTTATTCATGGGAGTATTGATATTGTATATATAGTCATGACGACTGATATTTTTTATTTTCATGACCTATATACCATACATTTGAAAATGTTTTTACTGTTTTTTAGCACTATCTCATGTGACAATATCAACATGTTATTATACATAGCTGTGAAGGGAATTTTAAGCTCTATTCAATGGTATAAAAACAAATAGGGCAGCCATTACAAAACCAAAAGTTGTAATATTTTTGACAATCCCAATTTACTTGTCATTATGATTGATTACCTGCTTACACAAAATTTCATTATTTTTCCTCTTATGCTAACCAAGAAAATAAATGAAAGGCAAATCAGTGATTTTCAATCTTCTCAAGATATTTCAGGAACTGCTGACATTTTTCGAAATTGTAAAATGTCATATTGAAGACGTTCATATTACGCAACTTTTATCCCACTCTCCCCTGTTAACGATTGCATACACACGGCCATCTGAGTTTTATGAAAGCCAACATGGATTTTTGTATTATGCGAAATGTTTGCCCCATTGTTTTCTATTATTCGGGAATCTGAAACAGCAAACAAACAATCATAACTATATCATGTCTGTATTATTGAAAATGTACAATGGGATGGGCTCCGGACCGGATAAAACAATGTAAAAATTCCTGATGCCAGAGTCGACTGACGATTATGACAGCCATCAAAACATCGGAAAGACAATTTCCGGCTGCAGCTATGATTGAGGCAAATGAGCATCGTGATTGAACAAAACACGAGCGCGGCCCGGCGACTGCCTTTTGTTTGTTTTCACAACGTGCGGGCAAATTATCATATCCAATGAAATTTGAGAGTTCGAATCATAACAAAACGTTCAGGAGTTGATTGATATAAGGGTACCCGAACAATGTTGGATGCATTTATCATTTACCTACCAACGTTTTGTGAACTAATTCGATTACATCCTATACAGGGTGTCTCTAGTGTCTCACGTTTAACTTGTTTAACTTTCAAGTACAAAATGCAGAGTGATTTATGTAGACCACACATTAGAAGTTTTCCAACTTGCAGTTATTTCATCTTTTGGAGCTGTTATAATTGATCACTTCCAATCTACCTGAAATATTATTGGTGGCTGGCTCTTACAGTGGCGTAATCAAGACTCATCCCTGAGGGGGCCTAGGTCCAATATCAATCATCAATCAATCAATACTGTGCTCTATTGTCCAAGTATATAATAACAAATAAGGTAAAAACAAACGAAAAAATACAAATAGGTACATAATGTAAATTTGAACACACACCATTAAAAAAAAGTAGTAACATCATAATAATCTTGCTGAAATACCTATATAGATTGATTGATTGATTGCTTCAAAATGATGAGGAGATGATTATATATAATTTTTTTTTGCTTTCAGAATTTTTGCTAAGCGTTGTCTTTGGTATTGGTAGTTTAATATCATTTTTATTCCTAGTATATACATTTAGATCCAGAGAGATTCCACTCATTATAGGCTGATTTTTGTGAATCAAACAAACAGTTTTCAATATAAATAGGCACGTAAGTGTCAAAATTTTACAATGAATGAAAAGAGGTCTACAATGGTCACTAGATCTAGCTTTACAAAGGTATCTCACTGCTCTTTTCTGTAGAACAA